AAAAAAAAAAAAAAAAAAAATGGGCATGGGTATGTCCCTGCCTTTTGGTCTCATTTTTTTTCTATCCCCCTATGTAGCTCTCAGACTTATTTTTTTTGCAGTACCAGGGATTGAACTCAGGACCTTGCACTTGTGAGGAAGGCATTGGAACCCCTGAGATAAATCCCAGGCCTACTCTATCCCCCTATTTAGAATGGGAGTATTTATCTTGTACCATTGGATATTAAAAGTGTTTGACTTTCTTTTCTTTTGCAGAGGGGCTTCCAGGTAAGAACTTGACTTAAATCTCAGAGGAGACTTTGGACTTGGACTTTTCAGCAATGCTGAGACTATTAGGGCATTGGTAACTTTTAGAGATGGACTAAATGGGTTTTGCGGTAGGAATGTGCATTGGGGTCCGGGAGAGGAGTATTATGGCTTGTATCTAGATGTTCTGCCAAAGCCTCCTGCACTGATAAGTGGGACTTTTTGGAGCTGACTGGGTCTAGGTTATGTGCTGCTGGGATTAAGGGTGTGTATAATTGGAAAGCCCACTCTAGGTCTCACTGTCACCATCCAAAAGGCTTGTAGGAAAAGAGGCTTGCTGTTGCTATTGCTCACTGCTTCCCTCCTGCCCTGCTGTGGACTGTTTCTCCTCTGCCATGTCCCTCTGCCAGGCCGCCTTGCCATGGGGTCAGCTGACTATGACCTGGAAACTTTACAAATTGTGAGCTGAAATAAACCTTTTATCCTTTAACTTGTGGTGGTTGAGTATTTTTTGTCTCAGCAATGAGAAAGTAATCAAGACAGTGATTTATTATTGTTAACAGTTCAATGCTTCCCTCCCTCTCTAGGTACCATCCACTCACCTTATTGGACAAAACTGTATCAATCTCCTGCTGCAGTTTTTTCTGGACATCAAGATGAGTGGCCAATTCATACATAATGAAAGAAAGAGCACTGCTAGTGGTTTCATAGCCCGCAAAAATAAAGATAATTGATTGGGCCACGAGCTCCAGATCAGACAGGGCTAATGGGAGAGGAAATGCATTTTAGGGAAAGCCAATTAATGCATAACATCACAACTTAGATGAAGAAAATTCCAAATATAACTCACAAATACCAGGTAGAAAAATGAAAAAATAAATTAGCATCACACTGGGAGCGGCTTTCACTTTTTTTTATCTAACAGGGACTGAAAAGGAAGAATAACTTCAATTCACTTTATCAAGATCTACAGGACTCTTGGTCATTTCCTCCTCAATATGCCAACCTCACCAGTTACATAGCTGAGTAATTTCAAGTGGTACTATTTCTGTGTAATATACAAACTTTCAGTAGTGTACCCCTTGGATAATCATAAAACTACTTTGAATGTGTAAAATTGCTGATAACATTTTCTCTCAGGAAAAAAGTAAGTTATCCTAGTTTAAAAAACAGCTGGAAATACTTTAAAGGATTTTCAATATTAAATAATCACTGTAGGGGGAATTAAAGGATCTTTCATCTAAACATGTTTGAGGGAACTTTAGGAACAATTTTGGGCATCAGTGAAACTGCTGGTGCTTGGTGTGTGGTCCACAGACACTCTTGACCAGCTGCAACTGGAAGCTGATTAGAAACACAGAATCCCAAGCCCACCCAAGATCTACCCCATTAAAATCTGAACTTTCATAAAATATGATGATTTGTATCTAAAACCTAGCTCAAATAATCTTTCAGAGGCATCAAGGACAAGAATGCCTGGCACATCACTCTTCAAAATAGGTGATATCAGCTTGTACAGAAAGTATACAGAAAGAAAACAGGTAGAACAGTGGTGACTGGCCCTAGTCTAATGAATGGCATTAGAGTAGCAAAAGAAACAGTGTTTGACTAGAAAGATATTGGGCATGAAATATGGGAAAAATTAGGGTATGTTGAGCTATTCATTATAACAATATTCAGTCGTGGCTCAGATATCATCTTCTTAGCACATGCCCCCTCTCTTGGCTCTACTTAATTTCACAACAGCCCTTGTGATAGATGTTGTTCTCCCTCTTGAATTTCTCCTGAGAGATGCTAAGAACAGTCAGGCATTGGTCTCCTTGATCAGGGAACGGATTAGGAAATGTACATACTCAAATCCTTGAAATAAACACTGTGCCTGCTCCAATCAAAAAATTCAGAATTAAACATAATACAAAATGAGAGCTTGAGAGATCTGCAGAGTTCTTCTTTAATAATATTGATAATAATTTTTGTAATGATACTGTAGAATATTCCACTAAAATGTCTTTCTTCCAGTCAGCATAAATTTAAAAAAAGGAATTGAAGTTGAATTATAAACTGAAAGTTGAGAACTCTCCTGCTCACTCTGTTAGGCACTAGTCCCACAAGAATATTTAAATTTTAATTAAAATGGAATACAATTTATACTTTAGTTCTTTAGTGTCACTTGCCACATATCAAATGTCCCACATGCATTGAGAAGTTACCATATTGAACAGTGAAACTATAGATTATTTCCTTCATGCAGAAAGCAATATTCAACTAGACAGATGATAATGAACATGTCAATGTATTTATAGACATAGATATATTTATGATATATTTACCCTGATGTGTGGGAATGAACTGCTAAATTCAGGAACTTTATCAGATGGCTGTCACATCATTGTAGCTTCAAACTGACCAAAATGAAATGATGTCACAGAAAACTGTTACAAATTAGGGAAATTTGGGGGTGACCTATATGTCACTGGATGGATATTGAACATAGATACATAAAATGTCTTTTTTTCTGTTTCATGTAGATACGTTTAACTTTCATAATTATATCCTTTAAAAAGATTCATAAGCAAAAATCCATAGGTGAATAATCACACCTAGGTCCCACCTTTTCCTTTCTAAAAGATTACTTTAAAAATGAATGGTGAAAAGGAAAACAGTTAGAAAGGACTCAGAAGCCATATTAAAAGGACTTCAATAAGTAGATAAACCTGACAGAATTTCAGCATCAAAATAAATAGCAATGGAAAGAAATAAGTTTATTTTACAGATTATTCAAACAAAAGAAAGAGATTGACAAAAATAGGAAAGAAGACAGAAGGAATGGAAACAAAAGAGTGTGGAGGAGAGGGAAGGGAGAGAGAAGGGGCAAGGTGGGAGGAGGGAATGAAAGAGGAGAAAAGGAACTGGGAGGAGAAGGGGGAGGCAGGATAGAAAAGACAAGGAAAGAAATGGAAGGGAAGGGAAGAGGAGCGGAGGCAAGAAGGGAGGAAAAAAGAGACAGAAAGAAGAAAGGAAGGAAGGAAGAGGGAAGAATGGAAGGAAGGAGGGAAGTAGAGAGACAGACAGGCATGCTGATTCTTACATTGAAAAATTGACTATAAATATGTAAGAAAATGTGGAGTTAGAAATTAATAATTTTGTAACAGTCATAGCAATAATGGTTTCCCTCAAAAACCATCCACAGATGATAAGGCTGGTAGATGAAAATACAAAGAAGAAGGTACTAGTACAATTCCAAAGGTTTTCCTCAAAAGGTGCTTAATAATTACCAGAGGAAAATTAAACACTTTACAGCAGATTAAGCTAACCAACATGTCCACCATGTATTCACAGGCAACATCACCATGGTTCAGAGATTATCCCTTCTTGTTAGATGTATCGGTGCAAATTTCCCAATAGTGATTCTGCAGTTGGTCTGGAGGTAGCTGATAACCAGTATATGTTCTGATATGATCCAAGACCACTGATGATATCCAGACATAAAATGCTTGTGTACATTGACTTCAATATTCGAACATCACTGTACATGCTCCTGGAATGTGCCTCTGACTACTATGTATAATATTCATTCAATTGTGTCTTTCTGCAATGGTCCAGAAACTTTTTGCTGTTTGGAAATTCTCTTGTACATCTCTAGAACAACCCCCATTCTCATGGATTCCCCAGCATTAGACTTTGGGGCATTGTTAGTTACCTTTATGAGACACTGTGCCTTTGGATTTCTGAGAGTTCATCATCAACTGAAGAAAATCCACTCGGTGCTAGAAACAGAAACGAAACTTCAAAACCAGAAGATCAATCATAAACTAAGAAGTAAGTCAGTAAAATACAGTATATAACTTCCTTCTGAGAATAAGAAATTTTTGTTGAGGTTGCCTGGGTGACTGGTGAAAAAAATTGATCTACAAGCTTTCGAGAACAGGATTTTTCTCTGAGTGAAACCAGACATTGTGTCCAATAGCTTTCAGTCTTTGAACTTCCCAATCCTGACTTGTCTACTTCCTGAACACAGAGTCCTGGTCAGAGAGTGGCAGCTCCTTCTCCTGTCACATCTGCTTGGTCAGGATGAAGTCCTGGATGTTAATCTTTTGTTCCCCTGCCTTAATTCTTAACCAATGGCCCATAGATTAATCTGCCATTTCCAGAGCTCATCTGCAGGTTTTAGGGACTCATCTTGAAATAGACCACCACCCTGGAATGCAATGCAATTTTTAGTGATACCCAGTCATATCTCTCTGAATGAAGACATCCCTATGATTGTGTATAGCCCACTTGAAGCAAAGCCATGAAACCTGGAGAGGTCCCATGACCACTCAAGGTCACGATGGGCTCAAATTTAACAGAGAACAAACTGAATCTGGTAGCCTCAATGTACCTTTCATTACAGAACATGAAACATAAAATGATTCTTTGTGAATATAAGATCTGAAGGTAAAGTGCCTGGAAAATGAAGGTATAAATAGAATTTTTCTTCACTGGAGGAATAGAATACGATAAAGATTTGTTGTTATTCCTTAATTTACTTTTAACAGATACAGATAAACATGAAAATTGTGGTTATTCATGGGGGATCATGTGTTTTGATATGTGTACATTGCATAATGTTTAAATCAGGTTAAAATACCTATCTCCTCAAATACTCATAGTTTATGGTGAAAACTGTCAAAATCCTTTCTTCTGACTATTAAAAATATGTAGTAGACTATATTTATCTATAGCCAACCTGCTGTACAATAGCACATGAGAACTTCAGGCTCTTAACTAACCTAACTTGGTTCTCACAGATTTTTGACCCTCCCTCAATTCTTCCTGTCCTCTGGTGACCACCACTCTACCTTCAACTTCTTAGATCAATGTTTCTTTTTCTTTTTAGTACCAGGAATTGAACTCAGGACCTTGCACATGCCAGGCAGATGCAGAGCCAGGGAGCTAAATCCCTGGCCTGAGATCAACAATTCTTTGATTCCACATATGAATGAGAGGAAGGAGTACTTGTCTTTTTTTTTTTTTTTTTGGTACAAGGGATTGAACTTTAGATCTTGCACTTGCGATGCAGGTGGCTGAAGCACTGAGTTGAATCCCTGGCCCAGTACTTGTCTTTTTGTGGGTGGCTTAATTCACTTAACACAACAATCTCCTGTTCCATCCATGTTGCAAGTGACAGGATTTCACTCTTTTTAATAGCTGAATAGTATATCATTTTGTATAGGTAGCACAATTCTTTTATCCATTCATGAACTGATGTATACTTCAGTCATTTCTATTTCTTGGCTATTGTGAACATTGCTGTAATGATGCATGGCAATACAGCATGCAATGCCAATAATATATGCAATTATTATGTATCAATAAAAACTTTTAAAAATAGTGATGCTGTGAACATGGGAGTGAAAATATCTTTTCAATGTACTGCTTGCACTTCCTTTGAATATATATCATATACCAGATTGCTAGAATACATGGTAGTTATATCTTTAATAATTTAAAAAATCTGTGTATCATTTTGTGTAATGACTCTTCTAATTTACCTTTCCTCCAACAGTGTGCAAGGTTTCTTTTTTCTGGAATTTTGTAAAGATTTTATCTCAACAGTATGCATGCCATGATAAACTAATTGTCATGCCTACCATTTAATTTTAAATGTTTTCTCTTTGACTCACTCTGCACTCTCCCTAAAATGGGAGAGCTATTTTTCTCTTAGAGTTTTCCATCTAACTTTAATTTTTATTTTTTTATTACTACATGTTTGCAGTACCTACAGTTTGCAATTATCTTGGAGAATGCGTACATGTACATAATAAAGCTTGATTCAGTTTTAGTTCCTACCTTCTCCATCTTCTAAATCCCTTTTCCTCACTTTTGTTCTTACTGATATTATTAATCTTATCTTACATTTATGATATATAATGTTTACCGTCATTTAGTTTATTAGGTTCCTGTATATGGCATAAGGTAATACAGAAAATTACAGAAGTCATATGTACAAGCTAGGCATGGTGGTGAACATTTGTAAACCCAGAACTTTGGGAGGGTGAGGTAGGAGGGGTTGCACATTTGAAGTGAGCCTGAGACAGTTAGTGTTTTGGTGGAATTCTTCTCATAATAAAGAATAAAGGTGTGCTGGAGATGCATGAGAGAAAAGGAGGGAGGGAGAGAGAGGGAGAGAAAGAGAGAAGAGAGAGAGAATCAGAAGGAAAGAGAATCAGAAGGAAGGAAGGAATGAGAGAGAGTGGGAGAGAGGGAAGGAAGGGAAGAAAGAAATGAGAAATCATATGGATGCAGTCCATGAATTTATCCACAAGTGAACACTCACATGTAACTACCACCAGATTTTACCTTTTGTTTCTCTTTGAGGCGACTTTCTTTAATCCCTTCAATTGATATTTTAAAAAAATTTATGACATCTCTTGGAAACACGGAGATATTTAATGCCTCCAACACTGGTGTAAGGAATGGAAAAAATACTGTAGGAGAAAGACAAAAAGGAAACAACGAAAATCCAAAATTTATGTGGAACAATTACAGTTGTACACCACTCTGGTTATTAAGTTATCAGAGTTCTCATGTGGAGCTATTCCTTCTGACACTTTCTTTTGGCTTCAGGCTACTGCATGAGCAAGGTCACATCGCAGAGGGCCACCACCATAGCAGTGTCATCAGTGGCTGCATCTGCACTGATCAGAGGAGGAGGATTGAACACTGACATCTTCTCGTTTGTGGCAGATTAGAACAGTCACTTTGCACAGATCAGGCTTTAGTCAAGTGCTGTAACTAATCATACTGTTCAAGTACAGTAGAAATAATGCAGGAAAAGTTTCTCAACTAGCATACAATGAAAACAGATATAAATAATTGGAAAGTTCACAAATATATGAAATTAAATACACACATATATAATCAGTGGATCAAAGAAAAATAAAAAAGATGGTTACAAACTGGTTGAGATTAAAAAATGGAGAATAAAATGTGTATGATGAATGAAAAGCCGAACCCAGAGGGAAAGTTATAGCTGTTGAGTAATAGAGATCTCCAATTAATAATCAAACCTAATACCATAGATCACTAAAGAAAAAAGAGCAAATGAACCTAAGCAAAGAGAAGGAAGAAAATATTAAAAACCACAATGGAATCTGATGAAATAAAAAATAAAATACAACTGAGGAAATTAAAAAAACTAATATTATTTTTAAAATATCAACCAAATTGGCAAAATGTTATCTATACTCACCCAGAATTAAAAAGAAATGACTGAAATTACTAGCATTCAAAGTCAGAGCAGAAATAAACTGATTAAACTGTTTGTAGGATGTTTTTTCCATTGGGTTTCTGGGATCTTGACTATTATATGTCTAGATGCAGATTTTTTTTGATCATTTCTAGTTGGAGTTCTATATGCCTCACTTATCTGTATGTCCAATTCTCTACCTCTGTCTCGGAAGTTTTCCACTATTACTTCTGTGAAGTTATTTTTTATGTCAATTGTGCTTTCTCCTGTGTTTTCATGGACTCCTATCAGTCTTATGTTATTCTTCTTTGCATCGTCTAGCAGTTGTTGGATTGATTTCTCGTGGTCCCTTACTATTTTTAAGAAATCTCTATTTTTATGGTCTCTAACTGCGATCCTGTCTTCTATATCTGATATGCTATCTTCAGATTCCCTTAATCTGCTGTGGATACTTTTTGGAGTATTTGAGTTTTTGATCTCCTGAATATCTGTTTGAATCTGTTTCATGGATTCCATTTTTTTCTCATATTCTTTCTTATGTTGGGCGATCATGGTTTCCATTTCTTTCTTATGCTGGGTATTCATGGCTTCCAGCATGTTTCTGAGCTCACCTATTTTTTTTATCTGTTTCTGTTCTAGATCTTCTAATCATGTCTTTCTCTCTGCTCACCATTTCT